GCCCGACCCGAACCGGTGACCCGGTCAGTGACCGGTCCGAGTAGACCCGACCCAAAACAAGGCCCGTTTCGGGCCAAATTGATTTTTTTTTGTTTTTTCATTTGTTTGGGCTCCACCCAGGTAGGGCTTGATGTTTAGGAGTGGTTTGGGGGGTTTAGGGGGTGGGGGTGAGGGGGGTCAGGGATAGGTATAGGGATGGATTCGGGCCGGGTCGGGCCCGGGCCGGGCCTAGGCCCGGTCGGGCCGCCGGTTCAAGAAAAGTGGGCCCGAGACCGGCCCGGGGGTTGGACGGGTCCGGTTCGGGCCGGGCCGGTTAATTTTTTTTATATAATTTATATTTTATAGTTTATAGTTTTATACGAGTATTAAAAACAAACTTCAATTGCATTTATTTGAAATGAAATAGGAACTACATTTGAAAATTAAAACAAACTTTAAGAGATAAACATTTTGAAAATTGTAATCAATCGGAACTTCCCGCACCTCCCGATCCTTTGGCTTTGTCACATGACTTCATATGCTTGATAGCCATCCCGAATCCGCCTGAAGCCCCCATGATACATTTTTTTTCGCACCATTTGCAAATTGCGTACCACATCCCGGTCTTCGGGTCCTTCTGCTTATCAAAATTATACCGTATAATGGCATTTTGATTTTCCATCTTAACTTCTTGGAGAAGAGAATTAGAGAGTAGATATATAATATATTGGAGAATAAGAGAATTAGAGAGTAGAGAATTAAGAATAGGATTTAGGAAGAATTGGAGAAGAGATATGAAAAAATGTTTAAGAGTAGGAGTATTTATAGGTTTTTTTACCCCCCACCCACCCCCATTTACCCCACCCAACGGCTATATAGCCGTTTGGGTTGTCCCCACCCCCACCCCCAAGGCCTCAACGGCTAGTAGCCAAAAAACAAAAAAATGTTTTTTTTTTAAAATAGACCCGGACCCGGGCACGACCCGGCCGGGCCGGGTCACAAAAATGATGAACCGAGCCCGTCCCGCCCCTCCCCCCCGGTTCGGGCCCACACCCGGTCCCGGACCGCCCGACCGGGCCGGTCCCGGGCCCGCACAGTACCGGGCCGGGCCGGGTCACGGGCCGGGTGGCCCGAACCGAATCCAACCCTAGATAGGTAGGTAAGCACAAAAAAATAACCAAGCCCGAGGCCCGGCCCAGCCCGATCCGGACCCGATATCTACCCGAGCCGGTCCCGAGTCCACCTATTCAGGACCGCCAGCCCGCCTTGGCGGCCAGGCCTAGGCCCAGCCCGGACCGAATACCCCTAGCCTCGAGTCTAAATTAATTTAAATTACTTTCCTAAATCTATTGTTTTTTTCTGGGCCTGCGGGCTGCGGCTGCAGACTGCCTTTTGTTTAAAACCAAAAAACGACGACCCCTAGGGATGGACCGATTCCGGTCTGTCCGGACCCGGGCCTAGGACCCGACCCGGGGGTGTTTTGGGGGCGAGCTCGGGCTGCAGGTTTCTTTGGAACCGGCCCGGCCGGTCTGGGCCAATTTTTTTTTTCAAAGTCTTTGGGTGGTAGGCGGGTTGGGCTGGGTGTTTTGGAGGTGTGGGGGTGGGGGTAGGAATTAATTAGAAAAGCAAAAAAAACGCTATCTGACCCGGTCCCGGCCTGGTCCCGGCCCAGTAGAATCCCGGGCCGGTTCTGGGCCTTAACCCCCAATACAAAAGCCCAGTTTGGACCGGCCCGCAACCGGTCCATGCCTAGCGACGCCTTATCACCAAACCACGCCTGGACGACGCCTTATCGCCAAACCACGCCTGGACGACGCCTAGGTCGCCTATTCTTCTCCCGGCGAGGTGAGGCAACACGGCGAGCACTCCTTAGCGCCAAGACGCCTAGTCGCCGCCTAGGTGACGCCATGACAAGTATGGTTCTGTTAACGTCTAACTATAGATTTGTATAAAGGCACGTCACCAGCATAAAACCAGAAGGTCCAGAACTAGAATGCAGAAATATCAAAGCAGGTCCAACTTTCCACATTAGATATCAATTCTGATGGATACAACCACCAATTTCAAAAGAAAGTGGACAGCACTTTGGTAGCTGGCATTTAAAAAACAAAGCAGTTCCAGGTGGTTACATAGTGTACAAAGGATGTGGCTCCTTCTGCTTGAACTTTTGAACTGTGTAGGATTGATTTGGCTTTTCTAACGGGCCATATCTGAACTCCAAACTATTGTTTACGCAACCAAATAATCCTGCAAAACCCAGGTCAATCTACAGCCCAAAATATTGAAGAAGTATTGAGAAGGATAACCAAACAGTCCTACACCAACATACCTCCTCTCACATAACAATGGCAGTCTTCATCAAAAATAAATGAATCCCAACTGTGCAATAAACATTAAAAAATCTCATGCATTCTGGTAAGCAATTGGGAGTCTGTAGGACCCGACACAGGTATAGTAGCGGGTTTTATCAATGGCCGCAGCATATCCATTATAGTTGCAAATGAAGGGCGTTTCCACGGCTCACTGCAGTATCATCTGGTGGTGTGAATTAAAATAACTACAAAAGTATGGTATGATACAAGGACAACGAGCATACCTTGCCCAGCATGCCTCGATAACTTTAGCCACTTGAGCATTCAAATCACGTGGTAATTCAAGCCTCTTGTGCTTAAAGCCAACAGCTGCCACCACCTATATAATTAATTGTAAATGCATGCATAGAAAATATCTAATACTGAAAACACGAATAAACTTTCATTCCATCTAGTAGCAATCATGGTGGACATCTTGAACCTGTTTGGTCATTCAATTTTACGTTGGTTAGGTTGAATAGAGATTGAAAAGTCGGTTGTCAAATTCAAACCGAACTTCGTTGAGTTCAATTTGGTTATAATTGGGGTTTTATTGTCTTTTTGTTACATTTGGTTTTAAGCTGTTTCAGTTAGTTTCACATTTAAGAATTTTGAAAAAACACTACCAAACAAAACCTGGAGTTCTTATTGTTCAGTTTTAGTTCAGGTTTAGTTCAGGTTTATTATGTTTTGTTAGGTTAAAACCAAACTAATATGTTAACCCCTAGTCACAATTAGGTTTCAATTATTATGATATAAAAACCTGGGCTGGATTCAAATTACTCCATGGTTGCTGGAGCGTTGCCAACTCCCAAAGTATCACACCGAAGCTATATACATCTGATTTTTCATTAGATGGCTCGTCACGGAGAACCTCAGGTGCCATCCACTCAGGCTGTCAAAAGAAAGGAAATAACCTTGCAACCACTCTATTATATGGGATATAGCACCAGATCAAGAAATATGAGTCATAGTTAACTTACTGTTCCCGCAGCTGACTTTGAAGAAAGAAATGTGTGTGCTTTTAAACGGGAAAGACCAAAATCACAGACCTGATTAGAAGAGATTATTGTAAAATGCTTGTTAGAGCTTTTGATAATAATATAATAATAACAACAACAATGATAATAATAATACAAAGAATAAACGAGAAATCTTTGCGGCACTTAAGTGCATGAAAAGGCCAAAGGTGAGTTCGATCATGGGTATATCAAGTAGAGCTGGTTTTTAAGTTAAAGCTAATAGATAAAAAAGAAACGAATTAATTCCACTTTTGGTCCTATGAGTTTTATGTCAATTCCACATTTAGTTCACGTCTTTCACTTTATCAGCTTTGGTGCTTAGACTAATGTTTCTTGACCATTTCTGGTCCTTTCATCCAATTTCCTGGCACCTCTATTGCGATTTTAACCACCGCAAATATCGACAAAAGGACCATATATGAGCGAACAACAATAGTCATGTACAAAAAGTGGTCAAAGTCAAACATGTGGACCCAAGGAAGTCAAAAGTGCGTGCCTGGGTCGCCTGATGCAGAAAAGGCTGAGAGCCTTTATTTTGGTTTAAAACTTTCACAAATAATTAGCCCATATCTTTAATAACACTCAGCCCATCTAAATAATAGGGTAAACCAAGTGAAACCCATGTAAAACCTTAATTCACATACGTAAAAATGTAAAACCAGCGTCAAACACTACAGCCAAATTTTACCATATTTGGTAATTTTAATGTCTTCTAGAGGAAATAACCAAATCATTCCATGCATCAAGAACTCCCCTAACATCACCAACCAAGAGGACCCAATGACTTGACATAGAGAAGTGCACTTTAAAACGAGCAGAATGAAACAAATGTAATGGGCACAAAAGAACCATCAGCCAATGTGGAATTCATAAGTTTAGCCAACATCAAATAAAAGCAAATAAAGTTCAACTAGACCAGCAAAATGAAAAAAGGAGTATAAAAAGTCTTTAACCAGCAAGCCACAACCACAAATCGGATCCAGTACCCATGGATACCCGAAGTGTCCAGCAGCCCTGAGCCCCTCATTGGCTGCCTACCCTTTGGCTGTCATGTAAGTGCCAAACACATGACACCCACTCTCCTATCGGACTAGTGGCCAAGGCAGACGCCCGGCAGCACTTGTCTCCAACCAGTTTATTGGCTCCACTACCACAAATCAAGAGATAGCCGATGCTTCATCCTCCGCTTCGGCTCCCTCTAAAACACTGCCAATGCATTCTCGTCTTCCAGCGATAAACGATATGAATTATCCAATCCTTCAGCTGCCATCTCCAAGCCCTGCATCACCAAAGCCTATATGCTACTTTGCTCTCCCCACAGCCAAAAAAACCTCAAGGGATGTCCCAGAAATTCCAAAATCCTAGAAAGGGTGCCATCCGCCTACGTTTTGTTCAGTATTTGATGATAAAAAAAGGAACTTCTATGATAATTATAACAAGACCGATACTTTATTCGACATGTTCCATGCTATTTTTTAATATTTCTATTGGAAGTAACTATAAACACTATCCATAATGTTTTTGGCATTTAGCTATAACTTAATTTGTATACCTTAATAACTATTGTATTTAATAGATAATTATAGCTGTTTTTAAGTAAAATTGCTGGTTTAAGTTTTTTAATCAATAGTAAGATAAGAACATTAGTTCATTGAGGTGTAGCCATTTTCAGGCACGCAGCAAAGCTTAGGCAATTATGTGCTGAACCCACCAGTAAACTAATCAACTAAAAACCTCAGGATATGCATGACATTTATCAGTGATAATAAGAGTTAAGACATACAACACATTCATGATTGTTCTCATCTCACCTTCACTGTGTACTTCGTGTCAACTAAAAGATTTGGTGATTTCAAATCTCTATGAACAATTGGAGGATTGTGTTTATGAAGATAATTCATTCCCTTTGCCTGTAAACGACGATATCAATATTTCAGCCCAACACATAAATATAATCAGTATCAAACATAAATTTATGATCAGATATTCATGCATACCACATCATAAGCCATGCATAACCGACGTCTCTCATCCAACATCTCACCATGTTTATGCAGAAGTCTATACAAACTACCTCTGAAATGTTTATAGAAAAAATGCACAGTATCAGTCAGCAAGAATAAGAACCCCACTGATACAAAGAGCTTTTTTAATTTTATGGAAGTCCAAGTCAAAACCTTGATAAATATTCTGTAACTATTGACAAATTTGGAGGCTGTGTAACAGCACCCATGAAAAGCACAATATTTGGATGTCGTAAACGTTTCATAATGGCAACCTGAACCAACAAAAAATGAACAGATGAAATGAGTGGGACATTGCAAAAAAAATGGTAGTAATGATGAATAGAAGCTTGGACAAAGTCAGACATGTACTTCACCTCCCGTAAGAAGTCTTGCAAACGCTCAGGATGAAAATCTTGTTCCATTAGAATCTTCACAGCAACTTCCTGAAATAATAAATAATTTGGAATTTCATGATTCATGGTATATTTTACATCAGCAAAGAGACAGTTCCATTATGTGCATGCACATGTTCCTATCAACCTTGTGAAGAAAGACATGGCTTATAACTATAAGTCTATAACATCTATCTCAACTTATCACTGTTTCAAGACATTTTAAAGAGTTAGTATCCAACTTAGTCCCCTGGAAACCGTCTCTTTGTGCCTTAGTACAGGGGCAAGACTGTGTACATCCGACCCACCTTACCCCACCGTTGGTGGGAGCCTTTGCGGCATCAGGGTAATGATGATGATGATGATATTAAATTTAGACCCAATTTAAGACTCATTTGTTCATTAACTATATCTTTTGGACCAAATTTAGTCATTAGGGGACACAAATATTCTTCTTAATTAGATAAATTCATGAATGAGTAGCAAATTGAATCTAGATTGCATCATCTAAACCAAGTTGATTCCTAAAAAGGTCAAATAGTCAAGACTCGAAGGACTAAAAGGTATATTAACTCTCTAATTTCAACGAGGGCGAGTATGATGTTGACAGTTTTTGGAGTTTCATCATGTCATTCCTTGGTGAGAATATTGTGACAGGACGGGCATCCTGCGCAAAGTATTGTTCCTAAACTTTTAGCACTAATACTATAAAATTTACTTGGTGATAATAAAGATGATTCTCAAGAAAACACTTTGACAAGAAAATTGTGTGCACACAAGCACTCCCCCAAGACCTCAATGTAAGCCAAGGGTGATCTATTCAAATAAATGAGTCCCAGATAACAACAGCCAAAAGATAAAGATCTTACAGAGCCATTCCAATCAGCACGGAGAACTGTACCAAAAGAACCTGAAAAGCAGCAAGTCCATATTGTTAGCTACAGACTCTCAGAAAATACTAAACTCTGCAGTTTTATCAGCAATCCAACAGTATAAAAACAACAGTTTCGGTTTCCTGCATGTTTGCAGAAAAAGAAAGGATACCTGCCCCGATTTTCTCTTTCAGAACAAGATCAGTCCATGGAATATCCAGATCTTCTACATCAAGTGCAAAATCCTTACCTGGCTTACTTGAAACCAGATGATTATCATGCCTAGGGTCAGAGTGGACAATATGAGGATTCGTGTCTTTTCCAATGTTTGGTGGGATGAAGACATTTGAAGGGTTATACATTTCCGTATATTGTGACTCTTTATCACGAACTCTTCTTCGAGCAATTGTAGGAGGTAAAGGTAATCTCGAGATATCATCTTGATTGCTCGAACTAGGCACACAGCTGGTTCTATCAATGTAAGTCATGTCCATTTGCTTAGCACACATTGGAGCACTAAGGTCTCCATCAGTGGTAGTTCCTGAGACATATAACCACCATTGATTTAAAAAACAAATTGTGGGACATGACCAAAAATCTAATCTAATATAAAAGCAAAAGAAGTTTGATGAATAGGGTTCCCGCCTAGAGGTGTCAACGTCAGGTTTTAGTCCACTTTTTAATGAAAAAAATATGCATTGCATAGAGAAATTTGTACACTGCAGAAGAAAAAAATAAATCGAAATCCTGATTAGTTTTTGCACATGTAAAAATAAATGATATTCATTTTCAATTGGCTAAACATGTGGTGCAACCGTGCAACTATTTTTACACTGTTCACAGAAAATATCTGTGAACAGTGCGTTGTTTTATTGGTTGTGCTTGTGGTGCTACTGTTTTAATTAAATGGAGATTTCAGTAGCTTGAAATGCTAAAATCTCATTGGTTTAATGTGGTGGTGTGAATAGTAAAGACTAAAATTTAATTGGTTGAATGGGTGGTGGGAATAGTATACCTTACTTTTTGTTTCCAAATTCCTAAATATAGCTAAATATAGTAAATAATATCACCTGTTGATGTTTCATCAAACACAAAATGAAGTGATTCACTGTCTGAGAAATATTGTTTGGCCAGGGAACTAAAAACAGTTGAAGTTTCAACATGTCGGAATCTGGGAAAGCACAATGGTGAAGAAATCAAAATGGAAGATGGACCATTGAGAGAAGAATCAGGCTCGCATAAGTATCCTGGCCTTCCAGCCAAATCAACTAGGTATTCCCTGTGATAGTAAAATATCTTACCACATACACTAAACGTAATACCAATAACAGCAGTGATATAAGAGATATAATGAAACATTGTGTGGAATAAATGACGTTCGATCTATCAATCGATTTTCTTATGAGTTTAAGACTGAACAAGTTCGAAAGGTATAAAAATGTGATAATATACTGATGAACGTGGATTAATGTATGGCCTAGTGCCCTAATCATTACTGCAAAATTTAAAACTGAGGATGCAAGAAAGAATATGGTAAACTACATATTTATAGGTTCCAGTATGTACCTGTCAGATCCAAACCGAACAAGACATGTGGAAGCATCAACTCTATCACAATATTTACATCCCTTGGCTATTCGACAAGGTAAATCAATAGCATCAGCAAGTACCTGTAGCAATCATATTTCAAGTATGTATGAAAGTATGACATTTAAGGAGTAGCACTCTCGGCTTAAAGTAAGCTGGTGTATGGATATGGTTTTTGTATTTATAAAGAATTCAGTCAACTATTACACAGGTGTACATAATTGTCAGAGAACAACTAACCAAACATACCTTAAAAAGCAAAGCTCGGTGCCTACAAAGACCAGCATAAAGGCTACCAACAGGTATAACAACAGACGCTAAACAATCTTTTAGGTCATCTCTGCATTCCTTCCAGATAGGAACCAAATCATCTTCTCCACTAGAAGCTGCACCCCTTAGGAAGGAAATAAAACTTAACTATAACAGAACAGAAAAAAATACTCGAAGTTCTTACAAATCCCTTTGAATATTGTTAATCCTCACCCCATGTGGTTACAAACAAGCTTTGCGAGCTCTTCAACCACCTCTTCTGTTGTGATGCAACTACTAGACATGGTCCGAACCCGATAATGCAAGTCCTTCAAAATGGAGTCACTATGCTTATCAATCAAAATCGCTTCCACAGAATGTAAGATGGTTGGATCAGCAGCTTTAAGTGATGGAATTGATGGAATGCGACCACTTTCTTGCAATTCCGAGCAGACAATCCATACATAAGGATCCATCCCATGAATTGAGTAAAATCCATCAGGAACTTTGTCAGAGTATGATAAGCATCCGTTTACCTGATGAACAAGATACTTAAAAGGGGAGGAATGGAGGTCCTTCTTTTCGTTTTCCAATACAGATTAGCTGCCCTTATTTAACTTTCAAGGGCCAAAAAGGAAAACAAACTTGGGCACAAAGATGTGCAGAAATTGGCGCTACCACATATTCAGGGCGTCAGACTTTATGAACCCATGGCAATGTGGTATGTATGTAAAAGAAAACTATAAACCTAAAGTATACACCAAATATAAAACTTACCCAGAACCTATGGGACATGGACTCTGCTGAAGCAGTTAAATGTGAAGGGACGGGATCCAAAAAATGTGGATCATCAGCGCACCTTGCTTCAGATGAAAGCCGTAGCGCCAGTGCTAACTGCAACTGATAGCTCTCCTCCGTCTGCTGCGCCCAGCTCTTGGACGACGAAGAGCCGCCGCCAACTAGCCTCAGCTCGCCACCGCTATCATTTAACTGTCCATAAGATGCATCGGGATTGGATAGAGACGGTATGTAGTAGTCACCGGATATTGAGCTTTCGCCGAAGCTACTGCCGCTGGACTGTCTCTGCAACCCAATCGGCGACGGGAATCCTGGCGTCGCGATCCGATTCTGCGACTGGATCATTCGATGATCAGACGAGTCCCAATCAAATCCCTTGTCACCTTTCCCCTTATTATTGTCCCCAGAATGAGACTCGTAGTTCGTCATCCCAGCTCCGGCAGAGGAAAACTTATCGTCCGGATTCTGACTCAACAAAGTATAATTCGACCGTCTTCCAGGCATTTCCATCGAAAACTTCCCGTCAAATTATATATCGCAAAACCCCATCAACCTCAAGATGGCACTACTTCCAAAGTCTTTAGTTCTAACCAACCGCGTCTCCTATCTCTTTCCATTTTCCCCCCTCTAGTTCTTCTTCCTTGTCGGGGAGGGAGGACGAATTTGGACGTTTTATTTCGCGGCGCAGTGGTAAGGCGTCCAGGTTTATTTATTAATGAATGATGTGTAAATCAAAGAACATATGACCGCTATTCCTCTCACAAATGAATTAATACTCAATATTTAAAATACACTCCACATTTTATTAATAAAATAAAAAAAATATTGTATAGAAAAATTTCTGGTCATTTACGATAACTTTATCAATACAACAAGAAAAGTAATTTTAATTTTATTTTTTTTTATTATTGTACAATTCAGCGTACAAAACAAAAAATATGTGTAAGTCAAAAAGTTCATTAATAAGTCTAATATACCGATAAACAAAGTCTAAGGCTTGATTATCATTGTGAGCACTAATGCTTTTTATTATGGCCCCACAAGCCCCACACACATATACTCTGTAAGTTATTATTATTACTATATATATAGGTAGTGTTTGTTTTATAGCGTTTTGGACACAAAACGTTGCTAATATCAGCGTTTTCAAGTGTAAGAAAACGACGTTTTCACTCCAAACGCCAAGTACCAAATGAATCCATAAGGGGCATATACAAGGGTGTCTATACCTCAAAGTTTTTTTAAACAAGAAATGAAAATTTTAGTAATGAAGAAGTCATGAAAAAAAGTCGAGAAAAATGCATGAAAAGAAAGCCAAAAAAAAGATAAAAGGAGAAAAAGGACAAAAAAAAGTTTTTAAAAATATTACTAATAATAATGTCATCAATAAAAATGTGACTTAGTAACTATTAGTGATTATAATTGAATTCAAGTTTATATCACAATAACTTACTGATGAGGTTTATTCCTTCAATCCGTAGGCCCAACACGTAACTCAAGGATTTCGAATGGACATTTTGGTGATTAGATGATGAAACAAGCAAGAAGAGGCTTGATAGAGTATTTATCTAGAGAGAAGTGAGAGCTAGAGAGAGAAGTGCAAGTAAATGCTTCAATAGAATGATTTTGTAACCCCTATAACTACCTCCAGAGGAAGTGTTTATAGGAAAAATACGGGCTGGGCTCCCAAGCCTTGGGCTTGGGAGGCCCATTTACAACTGGACCGCTATTGGGCCGAATACAAAGTAAATGATGGGATATATAGATGAATACATGTAAAATCTAGTTCTGTGAGACTTCCGTGGCCGACGAGGGCACGGCCGATGAGGGCACGGCCGATGAGGGCACGGCCGATGAGGACACCCTGGTTCCCTGGCTTCAGGATCATATTCTGAGTCGGTCCCTCTTCGGCCGACGAGGGTCCTTTGGCCGACGAGAGCACTGCGTAGTGGCTCGTACTTTCTGTTCTTATGAGTATGTGGGTCATGGGGCCTAGACCCATATACTCCATCAGGAGTCCCCCACTCTCTAAGTTGAGATGTAGGCGAAGTGAAGGAGAGTAGATTTCTGTGTTTGATGCTCTTGGCCGACGCGGGATCACGTTGGTCGTTCCCTGTCGTGGCGTTTGGTGGCCCTAATCTGAGTTTGGCCGTTACCCGTTCCTTGACGTGGACGAGGAAGGCTGTTACTTCTTTGATGCGCTTGTTTGTGGACGATGAGTGTTCCGGCATGAGTGGCCGACGATGGTAGTGTCCATCCTTGGTCGTTGATGGTTGAGTCCCTTTTGGGCTGATGAGGCCGTAGGGGTTGCGTCTTTGTTTTGGGTGGCCGATGAGGGTACTGTGCATTGCTTTTGGCCGTTGTTGATGATACCATGTGTCTTTGGGCGACAAGGCGCCATATTGTCCAAGCTTTTAGGGATGTTAACAGTCTGGCCGGAGATGGAGTTGTGAGGGCCTTGGGGCCGTTGTGGTACATGGACGACAGTGATTTAGGTATGTTAACCTCCTGTTCTTTGTTCCTCGCTTGAGAGTGGTTTGTGGTCTCGAAGCCGATAAGTGTCCTGTGATTTCAAGCTTTGCTGCGGCCAATGGTGCACCACGATGTTATTGACGTTGTGGACTTGGTGTATTTTTATTTTCTCATTTTGCCTGCTATTCTTAAGGCCGGTGTAGTCCCCCAATCCCCCACTGCTTCAGGCCGAAGAGTGAGTGAGGGGTGAAGGAGTAGCTTGAAGCTTAGGCCGAAGTGGGATCCTCATACTGCCGTTGGATCCAACTCTTTGGCGATTTCCTGACCAAGGTAACCCTGTGGGAGAACCCTTGGACGCAGGTCGCTTTCAAAGGGTTATCATCAAGGGTTTAGTGTGAGGGCCTCATGGACGTTGGGTTCCTTTCCTTTGCATAATATGTGTGGCCGCTTAGATGGCCGATTCGGTTGCAATGTGGATGGCCGTTGGCCGTCGTGGGTGCTATTTTTCCCTCCTTGATCCGTAGGGCCTGCTTCGTTGGTGGGCTGCTGATCTGTGGAGGGGGTTTGGCCTGTGGACAGAATGGTGGCATCCCATTGGTGGCCGTTGGTGTGGCCACTAAGGTGATGCCACGTGTAGTTACCGTTAGGAGGGGGGCTATAAATACCCTCCCCGTTCCGAGGACAGGCCTCATTTGCATTCTGAGTAACGAAGTGCTGCCCAAAATTTTTTAGAGAGAGAGAGCCTTTGCTGAGTGTTCTTCACCTTCTTCAAAACTTCAAGGTTAGTTCTTCAATCCGTTCTTCTACTTCTTACATATTTTGCTCTTCTAGGACTTGATCCAGTGTTAATCACAAAAACACTTTAGATCTAAAGTAGCCCCCTTAGTGCCTTAGGAGTTGTTAAGATGAAATCCTTAAACGAGGAGTATTACCCGTACGACGACGAGCCTTCCGCCAAGTCTCTTGACTACGATGTGATCGAGGAGTGCGCCGAAGAGATCGAACACCTGAGCCCGTATAAATCCGGAGATAATGTGGACGAGGAGGACGAGGACGAAGGGTCCGCTTCGTCATCCGATGGTGAGGACGCAGGGGTTACCCGCGTAGTGGATGGGGCGTCCACCTCTACTACCATCATGTGCCCAAAGTCGGTGTCTGCTGTCAAGGGGCTACCGCGGCCGAAGAGGAACAGGCGGCCGAAGAAGGGGCCAGGTTTCTCTTACCTGGACCTTACCAACATTTTCCTTATCAAGCCGGAGAGCAGTCCCGCTGACTATTTGGTCGCACAAATGTATGTGGGGCCGTTTGGGAGGGTTAGGGCGCCTAGGCCGACGGACCACGTGTTTAATCCGCCACCGGGATACTTTGGAGTGTATCCGATGAGCTTCGCCAAGGGGCTGAGGTTTCCCCTGCATCCCTTCATCCAGGAGTATTTGGACATGGTGGGGCTCCCTCCGACCTTGCTGACCCCTAACAGCTACTCGCTGATGGTGGGGTTCCTTCTCCGTTGTGCGGAGTTGGGTTACAGGCCGACAACGGCCCTCTTCATGAACCTCTACCAGATTGGCCGAGGGAGCCACAAGAATTGCGCCTGCTACGCCACTCTGCAGCAGCTGCCGAAGAAGAGGACCTTCACGGACTTGCCTTCATCCATACACGGTTGGAAGAGCAAGTTTGTCTTCGTGTCCCTGGGCGAGGGTGGCACTGAGTTCCCCTCCGTCGGCCATGATGGAAAGTTTACTCTTCATGACCCGCCCAAGAGTTCAATCCTGGATGCTCAGGTGGCGGCGTTCTTGGAGGGGGGGCCGAGGAGTGTGAAGGATTACATCACGGAGTACAAGATGACCGCTATCGGCTTCTTTAGATACTTCGTGTATGGTGATAAGGAAGATGACCTCCAACTGTGGCCGAAGATGACCATGACCTTCGAGGAGGCCGATGGCCCCGATCTGGGCGTTCCTGCCGAAGTTGATGGTAATACCCCCTACGGCGTCCTCTTTTTACTTTGTCTTTTTATTTTGCTGACTTGTTTCTTTGTTGTGCAGACTTCGTAATGGATCGATGATCCGTGATGAACAAGGCCGCTGCGAGGGCCAAGGCGGAGTTGGCCGCCAAAAAGGCTGCGGCGAAGGCAGCTGCTGGTGGTGATGCGACGAAAAGGCCGCCTCCCCCACCGAAGAAAAAACGGCCGGCGGAAGAATCCCAGAGGAAGCTGACTGAGGCCGGTATGCAGCCCGCCAAGAAGTCGAAGAGAGCTTCATCCTCTGCCATTGCCGATGAGGCCGGCGTACTAGCCGTCCCGATTGCGGACGAAAGAGGGTCCAGTGCTGCTGCTGCCCTCGTGGACCTTACCTCTGGTCTTTCCGGAGATGGTTCTCAACCCCTTTCCCTTGCTGAGGACTCCCGGCCGAAGCGGTCCGGCAAGGAGGTGGCTACGGCCACATATAAGCTGGAGGTTGAATACCCCAAAGACGGGGGGTTTTCAATGATGGCGTTGACGGCCACAGCGTGCTCTCTCAGGCCATCCCGGCCAAGGACCGGGTGTATCTTGACAAACTCGGCGACGTCAAGATATACGATGGTGGAATGGACCTTGTCGTCCAGGTAAATCCTTTCGTCTTTAGCTTTGTCGTTTTCCTTTGATATTTTTATGAACTTGTTGTCTGATAGCGTTTTGTGTTGCAAGGTGCCTTTATGCTCATGGAGAGCAACAAGAGGCAGCAGCAGGAGATTGCCCGCTTGAAGGAGTTCGAGGAGAAGGCAACCTCGGCCGATGAGGCCATGAGCTGCTTAGGGAGGCTGCGTGAAGATTTTGCAGCCTTGCAGAAGAGGACCGATGAGGCCGATGCGGCCAAGGAAGAGGCCCTGGCAAAACTGGCCGAAGAGAAGGGTGCCCGCGAGGCTGATCGTTGGCGGGCCGATGAGGCCGAGAGGGCCAAGGCCGAAGCTGAAGCTGCGGCAGTGAAGGCCGCTGATGATACCGTGGAGAAGTTCCTGGCCGAAGGCTGGAAGGCCGACGAGCGCCTTCCCTGGTGCTATGAGGTCGTAGCGGCCAAGCTCGAAGACTGGGGGCAGAACTCCCCTGCCGTCCAGTAATATTTCGAACGCGAAATGTCCGTGTATTATAATATGGGCCAACATCGGATGCAGAGGCTTATTTATCGGCGGCTGAGTCGCGCTCTCAGAACCCTGAACTACACTCGGGGTTGGGCCAGGCGGAACCTGCGGCTTCCCAGGCTAATGAAGGATCCGGAGGAGCAGATCAACCTTCC